GGGCGCAAACCTCCGCCAAGGTGTAATTAAGAAACAGATCGCCAACAAAACAACAGCAAATTACCGCTACTGGTAACAGTACACCACGCTGCAAACAACAAACAGCTACCACCCAAAACACAGTAACAAGTTTTAAACAATCGCCGCGTCACGTGACGGGTCACGTGCCGGTGCAAATTACACGTCACGGCCCCGGCTGATTAGTCTCGCAGGACAAAGAAGGTCCTGTCGGGCAGTGACGTGCGTCGTGTGTAGCTGCCAATTTATTAGGCTGCCGCCGCAAAAAGCAGCGAGGGCGAGCAGGGGGTTATGTTTGAGTTTTAGACAACGATTATTAGGCAAATTAAGTTTGGATGGAGTGAGGGTGGCAAAACGATTTTCCGCCGGTTTAATGGGGTGGCTAATAAAGTCGATGGGCTTTGTTCAAAACAAACAAATTATTGCCTAGTTTTTGAAGTCGGTCATATGAGCATTGTGCAATATGTTTGATGGGATGACAAATTTGTGATTTTAAATTTGTATAATTGTTTACAATACAAATGTTATGTTTTGATTTTTTAAATATACTATGCGTAGGTACATATATGTCGATTTTTCGTATCTAATTCTAATCTTATTTTATTTATGTTTCTTTTGCATTTGCAAATTTGCAATCTTGTTTTCTTGTGTTTTTAATTTTTCCGTGTATACCCTACCTACATTTTTGAATCTTGATTTTCTGTAGAAAAATTTAAGTAGGAGAAAAAACATTATCATTGTGACAAAAGGGTATTTCCATTGTAACGGGTGCGACACTAAAACTGCGTTTTTTCATGATAATAAATTGTTTGTTCATATATATCAAGAAACGTTAATATAAAAAAATAGTATAAAAAATTTGGTATTTAACTCGAACAAAATGTCAATAAAAACTTGTATAGAAAACCATTTATAACATGAACTAACAGGCGCGACCTTAGAAAATCGGCAAATGCGATGAAGTTGGCTTCTAAAGTTGATACTGTAAAATTTTGGATGAAAGCATATAGTAATAATGTTGTGTGTAAAACTTGAATAGTAACCTTAAACAAGCATGCTACGTGCACGTATTTTAAATGCACAAATATTGTATACTTTATTTTCTAAAATTTCTCAAAATGCAACGGGTGCGACATTTGAACATTTTATCGAGTATTGAAACTCTTCAGTGTTTATTCTTAATGTTAACTTCTTAGCATCACAATGTAAGAATATTTTAAGGTTATTAATTACGTCGCAATTAAACTATTTGACTTCAGATATAGTTGTTATTTTGTTAAATAACTTAAGGTTTCATGGAAATATCCAAAAGTAAATATTGCTGTTGTCAAAGTGAGGTTTTATTAAGAATTGTATGATTTCAAATGATATGTAGGTATATTGACTGCAGTTCATGGATTACAGTTCTGCGTCAATGGTTTTACAGGAATTTTAATATTTTATATGATTTAACATTTCATATAATTTAGGTTTTTTATATCCTGTGTTGTAAACAATTCATACTTTCTTTATTTTGAATCTTTTAATATTATTGAGGATCGCTAAAGTGTATGTCTTTTGTATTGTCTTTTGTATAAAGCAAAAAAAATTAAAAAAAGTAAAAATATGCCGAAAAAAAGTCAAAAAACTAAAATAAACACTTTTTTTCAGTGTTGATTTTATATCCCTTGGGGGATAATAGCTCTCTAAAAAGTCCTTTATTTGTAAATGAAACTTCCGTCAAAATAAATACAGCCGTTTCGGAGATTAACCCGGATAAACATTTCATAATTTTTTAATTTTATTTATATGTATAAATATATAGATGTGCAGATGTATAGAGTTCTATATTTTGTACAATAATTACCTACAATTACCTACAATACCTAATAAAATTATTTTTTATAACTTTTCAAATTTAAAAAAAAAATTTGATTTGTTCTTGGATATTTTTAATTTTTTAAACAGGTGTTCTGGAAATGGCCAAATAACGCCATACTATGGTTATTATAATAACTATGGTTATTATAATAACTATGGATATTATAATAACCTAGTACACTGAGAGAAAAAATGTTGTAGAATCATTGAAAACGATAATAATTCAAAGGGATTCAAATATGTTTTGGCGTCATTGGTGTGTCCCATTAAATTAATAGGTGTATAACAATTGTATAATACATATCTTTTTGAAACAACATTGAGAAAGGCAATGAAATAAATAATTTCTTTTTGTATATATATATTTTAAAGAGAGTACACTTTAAAAGTGTTTAAAAACATTGTAAAACTGTTGGTAAATGAATATAAAACTACAATTTTTTTCTATTTGAATCAAATTTACCCGATTATTTAAATTAATATAATTTCATATGCTTTTCATGACATGATATTTCTCTGAGTGTAGGTATAATTAGGTAATATTTTAATAAATAATTAATAATAATTTTTGAGTTCTAAGGTTTTTAAAATTGAGTTTTATTTTTATTATTTTAAAAATAATTATTTATTGCATACCATCCTTTATCTACGACGAACACAAATTACGCAATGTTTTTCAAAATTTAAGCTTGATTTATATTTTTAGGAGTGCCAGTAGGAGTTAGAAGTAAGGCAATGCTGCCAAACTAAATGTTTGCAATATGTTTGGATTCAAATTTGGTACCGCTACTCCTACTACTACTACTATTACTTCTATTGCCACCTTTTAGAACTACAAATCCAGCTTGCAAGGCATTTTTATTCGACATTTTATCTGACATCTGATATTTCAGGCAGTTTTAACCTCAATGTTTCCCAATCTGATATATGTCAAACGGTTTTAAGCTCATGTGCACCTTTTCCCAAATTTAACTTGTTCATTCAATATTCATTTATTTTTTATTTTTATTTTTTTTTAATTTCTTATATATTTATATACAGTATCGGCCATAATTATTGCAACAACTGTAAAAAAATCTAACTCTAAAACGCCTTTATTAATCGTTATAAAATTTTGAATGAAGATTTTTTTACAGTTCTTTCAATAATTATGGCCGATATGGTAATGTAACATATTTTTAAAAGACTTATTTTCTTGTAGTACTAAAATTAGAAACAAGTATCACAGCAGCATCAGCAAAATAAAAAGAAAATAAGTAAAACTTTTAACTCAGTCCCATATCAAATAAACAATATTTAAACATAACCAACATGAAAGCACTGTAATTGTGTTTTAATCATATGCACTTGAATCTCCATCTTTCCAATTACCGCATAATACTCGAAATTAAACACGTAGCAAGGCTCTGAACTGTGCTAGAAGACTTGAAGACTTGATTAAGGAATTAATTAGGAAGGATAAGGCAGCAGGCATCGAGCGTTGCTTGTTTGGAGTGAGAGAACGCGTGAATCAAAGCCACGCCTTCAAGGCCTTCTCTAATTAACATCCATTAGGGGCAATTAAGCGGGAACGTCACCTCCATCCTCCCAGAGCCTACCAGTGGCTTGCACAGGTCCCTTCATCCATTTTCAGCAAATTTTTCTTCTGTTGTTTATCCTGTCTCATAGTCACTAAGTATAGTTACTTACAAACAGATAAAGAAGTCGAGAGTGGTTAAAAAAATGTGTTGGGAGAACTGAAATATATTAGTAGGTAGTTAAAATACACCAACTGCCACTGATCGACCCTCAACTGTTCTCTTTGTCTTCCAAAGGTTCTACGCCCATCTCTATATTCTCTGTGTGGTGAATTTGCGAATTTGCAAATCAGCATTGCGCGTCAACTATGGTTACGTGTCAATCGGGAATTTAGTGCGGTTAGAGGCTTAATTACCATTCGCAGTCCATTAAATGTCGGGGTAAACAATCAACAATATCAATTAAAAAACGTACGAATTCATTGGTTAAGAGAAAGTCAAAAATCATGACAACATTGCCTTATTTAAAAAAAATAAGGTAAATCGTACAACAGGCTATAGAAGTGAAACTTGAATGTATTATTATTCTGTACTTTCGTCAGATTCGCACTCCAGGCACAAAACTATAGGCTTATGATGACTAAATTATGCATGCATATTTTTTTATTTTAATTTGATATATTTCAATCGTTATTAATTTTTAAGTTAAATTTACAGTCTAAAATATCTATCAACGGTTGTGCTTCCTAGTAAAGTAAAATTAACATTGAAATCTCCACTTAAGTTGAAAAATCATATCATAATACATTTATTTCTTATGACGGTTAATGCATAATGCAATTTTGAAAGATAAAGACATTTTTCTTCGTAGTAAACAATATTATTAAATAATTAGATGTACAAAATAAATATTCAAATGTAATATCACAGCCATTCCACGCTACTCGGGAATTTTTGTAGCGTCCGTTACAATCAAAAATTGTGAGTAAAACTACCGTATTTATTATGCTTATAAGTTTAAGCCTAATTAATACAAGCATAATAATTCATTGCATATATGTAAGGCCCGGATTTTAGGTAAAACACCTTTTGTTGGTTTTTTAGGTTTTAAAGATATTTTTTTGTATTTGCCCGTTTTATAAAAAATGGAGTCATCTGACTAAGTTTTATTTGACCTAAAATACCTTTTTTATATTTTTTTCACCTATTTTCCTTTTTTGCACCTAAATTGTATTTTTAATACCTAAAATGAACTTTTTTTACCCAAAATATACCTACTAATTTTAAATTTTATACTCTTAATATAATATGGATAATACATTTTATATAATAATAATAATAATGGTTGGCAACACGGCAAACAATAAAGTTGGCATCGTCTCCAGACTCGTTTTGAATTATGCAGCGTGCACGCTGCATAACAACAACATGTTGTAGTGTAGTGGGAGTAGGCTTCTATGCACATAACTTCATAGTTTGTATGGATAGTCGCATCAAAATAGTTGTTTGAGGGTTGAAAAAAACAATTAAATAGAAAATAATTTATTGTTATTTATTATTAATAAATAGTAAAAGTACAAGTATAGTAGTACTTTATTCTTCAACATGCCGAAAGAAAGAAAATCATGCTCTCAATGGTTAAATGAATCGAAAGAGTTTCAAGTTTTAAAGGACAATTTATTATTTTGCAAAGCTTGTGGTAAGTCGGTAAGTACCTAGCTAACTACTTATTTAAAAGTTTTTATAAAGGTTGTAAAGGTTGCCAACTATTTTAAACATTACCGTACCTGTAAAATATTTTAGTTTTTTTTCACAAACGATATTTAAAATTAAAGAATTTTGCGATATGCCTTAAAAAAAATATTCATTTTAATGAGTTCTTTCATTGGTTAAAATTAACACGCCTATTTTTAATGCAATGTCAGAAAACTTAACTGTAAAATCAAAACACTTATCTTAAATCAGAGATCAATTTTACAAATCTAGTTTTTGAGATCCCCTGTTCTACCACTTTTTATTTATTTTGTACTTGTTTTTATAGTTTAAATGCGAAAAAAAATCGCATTTAACTCAACATCAAATCAGCAATCTACATAAATTGAATGTGAATAAAGGTTTACGTCAAACAACCGTGCAAGGATCTTCTGTTGATACAAGTCGTAGTTTTAATACGGACTTGTGTAACGCTTTAATGGCGGCAAATATACCGTGGACTAAACTTAGTATGCCAAAGTTGAAGGAATTTCTAGAAAAATATTGTGGTAGGAGCATTCCGAATGAATCGAATCTCACCAGGTGTTACGAAGAGGTGAATACAATTTATTTATTTTAAATGCACTTTATTCAACTTTATTTTTTTAGACCATCAAAAATATTCAAAACGAAATTGGAAATTCCGATATTTGGATTTGCGTGGACGAATCCACCGACCGAACAGGTCGGTACATAGCAAATCTAGTCATCGGAAAACTTTCTGATACAGAACCTGGAAAACCATATTTATTGGCTTCAAAGCCCTTAATAACTACAAATTCCACAACTGTATCTAGATTTATAAATGATTCACTTGGTTAGTATTCTTTTAAGATGTTTATTTATTAAACTTAATATTTTGTTTTTAGGAATATTGTGGCCTAATGGCTTGAAATACAACAGAGTAAAATTGCTGGTTTCGGACGCAGCAGCGTACATGTTAAAATGTGGTCGTGATCTAAAAATTTTTTATCCCGATCTTATTCATTTTACATGTTTAGCCCATGGATTAAATCTTGTGTGTGAAACAATTCGAAACAATTTTGAAAATATTAATGGACTGATTTCCAACGTTAAAAAGGTATTTCTTAAAGCCCCTCTTAGAGTACAACACTACAAGAATGCTTTACCAGACGTACCTCTGCCACCAGAACCAATTCTTACTAGATGGGGTACTTGGCTAAAAGCGGCCATATTTTACGCAGATCATTTTGATGAAATTAAAGAGGTACGTAGTGCCATGATGCTTAACCGAATTATCGAATATAATAAATTATTCTTTTAGGTTGTACTTGGCCTCGAAGCAACAGCATTGTGTGTTGAAAAAGCGGTATTTTACTTTAACTGCCCGAATATCAAAGATCAATTAATTTATATAAAGGCAAATTTTAAAATATTAATTGAGAGTATTAACAAATTAGAAGCTGTAGGCGTTCCACTTACTGACTCTTTGGCAATTGTGGAAAAAGTAATTAACACATTGGAACAATCTGGCGGAGAGGTGGCGAATCTGGCTTTGCAAAAACTCAAAGCCACAATTAATAAAAATCCAGGTTTTGTTACTTTAATGGGAATTAAAAGGTTAATAATGGGAAGCCAGCCTGAGACGGACTTTAATGTTGAAGACTGGTCTGTGTTCAAGTATTCGCCAGTTACGTCCTGTGACGTTGAACGTTCATTCTCTTGGTATAAGAATGTTTTGAGTGATAAACGCACTAGCTTTACTTCTGAAAACTTGGAGAAATATTTTGTCTGTCATGCGTACAATCGATAAATAAAATAATAAAATTTATTTTTTTTGATTTTAGAGTTCCTATTTTGTTTTTGTTTTTTGTAATTTTAGAGTTCCTATTATGTTTTTTTTACATTTTATTTGTGATATGATATATTTACTTTTTTAAAGAATTTTTTATTTTATTTGTTATTTTAATAACTATTTCATTTTTAATTTAAATCCTTTATTGCCGGACTTTAACAGAGCAATTGTAATGTAACTAAAACTACATAAGACCTATTTTTGGTTTTACAACGACATCGACATTATAATGAAAACATTTTATTTCAATAAATCAGGTAATTTTATTTTTTTATTTAAGTACCTAAAATGTAGGCACCTAAAATAATAACCTAATTTTATAAGTATGTGACCTATTTTTTACTTTTTTATAACCTAAAAATACGGGCCAACCAATATTATCTTTTTAATTAAGTACCTAAAATATAGGTACCTAAAATAATAACCTATTTTATAAAAAATATCACCTAATTTAGGAACCTTTTGTCACTTTTTTATGACCTAAAAATCCGGGCCTTACATATATGCATTAATCACACTTTTTGATTAGTAGCGTGGAATGGCTGACCTCTAGAGGTTCGATTTAGCCGGATATTTTTTGACTTTTCACAAAAGCTTGGGGGTTTGACGTATTAATTTGACAAAAACCGTAGCTCGAGTAATTTTCTCGCTCAAATTTCTTAGAGTCAAATTAACAAACCACCAAGTTTGAGTTAAAAGTCCAAAAAATTTCCAGCTCAATCGTACCTCGAGTGGTATTTGTTGTCATTTTTGTGTCACTATGGCATTTCTCTATAATCTTTTATAATATGTTTTTTATACAATATTACATCCGTTACTATATTGAAGGTATATTTATAAATAGAAAACATTCGCCAATTTTAGTCACTTGGATTTCTGTGGAATTGTCATTATAAAACTTTGGAAACCAATGTTTGGACACTGATTGTTAATTGCTCTAGAGAGGTGCAATCTGAAGGTAGATTTTTAGAAAAGTTGTAATTAGAATAATTGCACAAAGAGATAAAATAATAAAAGAAAATATCTAAAAATTAGAAATAGCTAATTTGCAATAAAGCGCCCAATCTGCAGCTATTCGTTTCGTAGCGTTTCGTTCCATAGCAAGTCGCATAAAATGATTTTGCCCTACCGAGCTTAAAGAAGTTTTACACAGGACATTTTGATGGGATCAGCTCGAACCTTCTTTTAAATGGTAGACAATTATTCTATATCTACAATAAACTAAGCATAAAAGATTAGCTTTTCAGAAAAAAACTGTAACAAAGATACTTCTTAGTAGTAAAAATTCCCACTTTTCAGTGATATTTTTAAAATGCAAATATTTAATTAACAAACTCAATAGTAAAAAATGAGTTCGATTTTGTCTTTCGTGTGTGGTGCATCGTACTTTCATCTCTGGGTCATTGCTCGATGAAAAGTTTGAAACATAGCTGACTTTGACCCAGGAGGGACAAAATGGAATTCCGGGTATAGAAATATACCTGTATTTTTGGACAATATCGCAAGCTTTGACCTTCTAGCGAGGTATTTTGTGAATTGTACATGGAGTGGATGATCCAAGATTTGGAAAATGCACGTGGGTGGATGGCTTCGTGAAGCGCATGGACATTAAAACTAGTTGCTGGTCAAATTGGTTCATTGAAACCAAGACCATTAAGGCCTTAGGCCACCAAGGAAGAAGAAGAAGAATAGTAAAAAATAGAACTACTTGGTATGAAAGAAACAATAATTACTTAAAAAGTTACACTAGTTTACAGCAAAAATGTTCGTTCGATGCCACTATTTTTTTCTAATGTATTTTGTCTTGCTAAAATTGATTTAAAGATTTGAATTTTTCATTTGTTTTTCGAATGCAGCCTTACAATTTGGGACATATCTCGAGTCAGTGGCGGATTGTGGATTTTGGGTATACCGATATCTCAGTTAGTAGTAGACATGGGACCCACACCAAACTTATATGAGTTTATATTGACATTAAATAGACAAGTTTTGCGCAAGCAGAATTTAAATGCAAGTTTGCGAAAAAAAGTTATTTTTTCTGCGCGCCCTGAGAATCCATGGATTATGCATAACAAAAGTGAAGACATGCTGGAAGGTTTCACTAAGAAATGAAGTCCATGAATTTTTAGATAAACAAATAGTCAGAAATTATATTTGGTTTCTAAAAGAAAAAAAAAAGAAAATCAGATACCAAAAAAACAGAAGGCGATAAAAAAGATACAACTATTTATAATAAAAGGCTATAATAAAAATACTACAATAAAAAAAACAAAATCTATTCTATAAGCTATAAATAAGGTAAAAGTCCAAAACTTGTATGAAAGATAAGTGCTCTCTAAAAATTAATTAGTCAAAAATGACTAATTTAATAGTTATAAGTGGCTGCTTTTTCATGGTATTCCATGGTTAACCATGGTACAAGTGAAAAAGCAGCCACTAATAACTATTAAATTAGTCATTTTTGACTAATTTATTTTTAAAAATGGTGGAAAAAGACAACTCACTTTATTGTTCTTTAAAAATTAATAACAATTTATTATTTTTAGATTTAGCCATATTAAAAAAAGATACATCTTTAGGAACTTTACTACCCTTACGTAAGAATGTTCATACCCTCCACTCTCTAAACCATTTTTTCACAGTCGAACGCATCAGACACCCCAAATATAAACTTAACCGACTATAAATGTACGCAATCGAGACACAAAAGCCTCTATGGACGGACAAAAGGGTGATTTTTCGGTATTTTCAAAGGTGACAGAATCTCAAGAGCACATCCTTTAAATTTGTTACACGCGTTTTTGTTGACGATCAACGAAGTGAAATATAACATCAATACGGAAACTAAAGGTGGTTGTAAACAGTTGGTGTTTAATGGAAGTTTGATTATTATTGGTGGATGATTACTCAAGTGCCTGAAGAATTAAAGGGAACCTTTTTTTAACATCAACAAACATCTCTTAAACATCATTTCCAATACAAATAGGTTCTTAATCACCTCCAAAAAGATTTACATGGACCTACCCAACACCCTGTATAATCTTTTACATTAAGACATCTCACGTATATCAGCATTGTATACCTGTTATATTTTTATCTTATCTCTAAGTAAAAAGATCATATACCTATCATCCATGATCTAGGATTAAGCATTAGGTCTTTGTATCGAACAATATGATTTTAATTTAATAAGGTATCATCGGCTTAACCTTAGACATCCTAAAGAAAAAAATACGTAAAAAATAAATCTTTTCAACGTATTTCCGCGGTAAAATACAAATGGGGCGGAATGTCTTGGTCTCAGTTGCAAGAAATACGATATCGCGTAAGACGAGACGTGTTTAAAGAAGGCGAACATAAAGAAGTTTTATAACAGCTTTCTTAAACATGTACCGCCTTCAAAGGACGACGTTAAATTATAAGTAATTAGACTGAATATAGAGCCAATTCTAAACAATTAAGAGGAAGCTAATTATGATTAGCACGTATTATATTATAAAACGTGTTAGGGAAGAAAAAGTTTTTTGTGAAGTAATTTTCCGGTCTTGCATTTTTAGTAGTTTTTACTTATTTTTAATCATTTATGACTTCAAAAAGGTTTTCTATAACCCAAAGATTTTCCATATTTTTAAAGAGTTCAAAAACAGCTTTTTATAAAATCCTGAAAATCTGTTAAACTGATAACTGTATTTGTTTTTAGTATTTTTTGTATAGGTATTAGGTTTTAATAAAAATGTAAGATAAAAAACCTTAATTTTAGTTAGAGTTAAAACAAATTCTTGTAACCTCTAAACAACAGAAAGAAGAAACTGGAAAACAATTTAAAAGGCATCGGCCAACCCGATCTGACACCTCTAATCGTCTAAAACGTTGAAGGACGCCCTATCGAAGTGGAGAAGAGAAAAGGGGAAAATAGCAGGAAAATGTGGGGAGGAAAAAAGCGGGAAAAAGCGTAACTGAAACGCTATAAGTGTGGGAACGTGAAAAGCTGGCGCCCGTCCATCCGGAAAATTCGTTTGTAGGAGGAAAATGGAGCCGGGCTACTTTTTCTGAAGACAAATGATCTGGTGCGATGTTTCCATACTAATGTGCTGCTAAAAACAAAAACATATCGAACTGAACCCTCTCGGCAAAGGGCATTTAACGCCTGGTGAGCGAGAGCTCGGCTCTTAAATAAAGACATTTAGTTTTGGCTAACGACCGGAAAATTACCTCACAAGGGAATTGCGATTTTTGTTTCTTATTTTTTCTAAACATGTTCTTTATTGGTTGTCATGATTGGCTTTGTTTTTACTGGTTAGAATTGGTTACAATAGAAATTGCATTTTTGTTGGAATATTAATTATAATTATTATAATTTAATTTATTACCTGTATGAAAAAAAAAAGAGTGATGATAATATTTCACTTGAAAAAATTTACCAATAAACAAAATTTGCTATTATAAGATACTAAAACTGTACTTATTTTTTTTTCAAAAACGTCACCTAAGCTGTTTTGCTTATCACCCATTTATGTATATAAAACGGGATAAATAGGAGCTGGAGATTTGTTAAAAAATCTTGTTGTTTTTAGTGCAAAAATTTTATATGAGAAGTAGCTGCCATTATAAACCTAAACTGCCATTATAAACCTAAACCAATTTTTTAGAAAAAGATAATGAAGCTTGAATTAATTAAAGTTGGAGGAAAGTCGCCTATTATAGGGTATATTCCCAATATTGGATAGGCATGTATCTTTGCAACCAGACTAGATATATCTATGTTTTATTGGACAAAGCATATACTATAGTATAGGTTTGTATGAATTTCTACTTAATATTAAAGCCATGTACCGATCAGCTAAATGTTCTGTCATTTTTATTTATACACTTTGGTGGTGATATAATTTTTTGCTGGTGCTTATTAAAACGATTTTTTTTCAAATAAAGGTAAGTCCTGGCTAGTTGTTATGTATAGACTAATAGTAGGATTGCTAATTTGTATTTTGAGCATATAGGTTTTTGCTGGTGCCTTATTAAAACGATTTTTTTTAAATACAAGGTAAGTCCTGGCTAGTTGTTATGTATAGACTAATAGTAGGATTGTTAATTTGTATTTTGTGCATGTTTTTGTTACTGTTTTTATTTAATGAAAAATATTTCATTGTTTACTATTTGCCAAACGGGTTGTAATATGGGGTACCTCATATTAACGCCATATTGAAGTCATACGACGACATATGACGTCAATATGATGTGCTACCTGGGTTGTTTAGGTTATAATATATTTTAATTTGTTTACTTGTTTAAAAAAATCTATAAGGCAATTGCCTTAAGGTTTTAACGTAAATGTGGACATCATACTCAATTTTTTATAACTTATTTATAACTATGTTTTTTATATGAATAAAATTTTTAACTTGTAAAAACCTTTTATTTTTTTATTTTTTTTTGTACTAGGTATTTTTTCAGGAAAGTTATACCAGGACCCCATAATAGGCTACCTGGTAGCCTTATATGGGGTACAGAATTTTTAAATTATTTTTTTTTACACAAAAATTATGTTTTAAGGGTTTTTTTATTTGTGGTATTATCTTGCTTCCATTTTAAAGAACCAACGTTGCCAAACTGAAAAACAAACAAAACTAAATAAAGAAAATAATTATAAAAATTAAAATGGTACCCCATAATAGGCGACTTTCCTCTAAGGAATTACTGGAATCAGATGAATAAGTAGGTACTGTTTGCCCAGCTTGCTACAGGACAAGATTTTTATTTGTTTAATAAACGTTTTACCACTTAATATTTACATCGCCTCATATTTTTCGCTGTCAAAAATTTACCTCTTCAATTATTTTTCCCTCATTTATTTCTGCCTCTACAGTTTTCATTGGCATTATAGTATTTGTAACAATTTTAGTGATTCGGTAAAAGCTTCCTAAGCAGCACTTGAGGAAAAACTACTTAAATACAAAACAAAAGCCATACTGGCAAACGCTGAAATTTTACAGCTAAAGTCTATTCAAATCCAAGCTGGACTAAATGTAAACACAATCCTCCGAATCGACCAATAAGAACGAGTTATCATGCGTCTGGGCGTTTTTGTTTAGTCCAGCTTGGATTTGAATACACTTTAGACTAAATATTTTTCAACTCTGTATGTATATGTAAACACGATCTATTCTCATTTGCACTCTCGTTCTATTTTAGATTTGCCATTGGTCGGCTCAAGGTCGACCGCTTTTTTGTGTACTGCAACGAGCAAATGACGTAGCATAGCAATTATAACTCATAGGATCGAATTAGATCGATGTTACGCAGCTTAGGGCAGCATATATGTTTAGGTTACAAAAAATAGAAATATTTTAATATTTTCATATTATCAGAGCTCTTATACACTAGCCGCCACAGGTCAATAGAAAATCGTATCTCAGATCCTGTTTCATTGGTAATCATTTACTTTTTTTAATTAAAATAAATGATGAATAAAAATGAAATCGAAAATCCTAAATTAAAAAAATCAAATGTTAACCAAAATGTAATTTTAGCTTTTTGATCCTTTAGCTTCCCGTCATTTTAGTTTGTACTCAATTTTTATATGGTTTTTAAATTTTCATTTAATTTTGGTTTTAAAACCATTATATGGATAATAACTATTATACACGTATACGAAATAGTAGTACTAGTATTTTATTGTTTAGACCTTTACTTTCAAAGTTTGACATCATTTCTGAAGAAGCTACTGTGTTAGTTATACATTAGTACCAAAGTACATATATATATATAAAATATTCAATTGCTGTAGATGCACCTATATGCAATAGGTAATTGTAATTGATGAGATTATCATGGATGTGGTTGCAACCACCTTACATGTAAGAAATTGAACAGATGGGAGGGCTGCATGGAGGGATGGAGGGTTAGAGGAGAAGTTGTTATGGGCCGGAGGTGTTTATAAGCGGTGAATAGTGTCGCCAGTTTGCTCTATGAGCGTTGATTGGGTGTTTATAACAGCCTTCATTAAAACTTTGATTAATAACCGCCAAATTGAGTGTTAAATTCATTACACAAAGTGAATAAATTGAAGATTAATTAACCATTGATAATTTAAACTCGCTAGGCCGTGCCTTAACGAGGTTAAAATTTGCATTCGAGAACGGAAAGCACTTTACGGGGCCATAAACACAATTAGGAGGGGACGAGACGCTGGTTTTCACGGAGGAGGACAACGAGGAGAAGGAGGGTGCCTCCCAACTTTCTGATGGACTCTCAGGACAACTTGGACAACTTAGCCAGTGCCGGATTGAGTATAAAACATTTTAAAATGTAGATTAAAATCTATCAGGAAACCAATAAAAATTAATGAAATAATGAAACAATTAAATTATACCGATTTAACCTAAAAAATACTGTAAAAGTGTCTAGGGTCTATAGAAAAGAAATAATTCTGCCCAAAAATTGTATAAGGGCTTAGGACTAAAGTCAGCACTGGATCGGCTCTTTCATTAGACCCGATCCGAATAAAACCAGTTTCGGCAAGAAGGGTTAGCCGGAAGTGTCAAGTGCACGCGGTTCCGGTCGACATCTGCCCAACTATCTATCAATCATCGTGTTGAACGGGCCTTAATCTACTGACAGCCAACAACATAACACAACTAATTAGTATTGTGTTGTTGCTTTACATCCACAAAACATTAAGGTACCTACTACATTCATCATTACATTGCTTTCAGCCATTTACGTTTATTTACTCGCCCAGGAGGGCCTTCTTAAAGCTCACTTTTAGAGAATGTAACACATGGAGTGAAAATTAAAGTAAAATTTAACTGCTGCATTTGTATCATTTAAATGTTGTCTTTATTAAAAAAACACAAATTGAAATCATGAAAAAATGTTCTAAAAATTAGATTAGACCGGTTAAATTTTTTCGAATGCCATTCCTAAAAATGTTGCATCCACTCTTAATTTTTTTTATATTAAGACTTGAAAGACTTACTTGTTGGGACATAATACTAAAAATCAATGTGAAACCACTTCTATTAAAGTGATTAGTTACTAAAAACAACCATGTATGCATACCGTTAAAAAAATTGCATATTCCGCTCGAGTGAAGAGTTTTGAGTTTTGACAGTTTCACGAGAGCGGAATATGAAATTCCAAACGGTTCAGACTAGCTGTATTCCAAACTTGTTACAGAATATACTATTTTATTACAGTACCAATTTTAATTCAAATACCGTAGTAACTTATTTCCTCGTGACAGATCCCAACGACGATTTTCCGATGTTTTACTTAAAACATATAAATCGCAGGGGTACCACCGCACACGATTTAGTTCCGTGTGAACAGGTCGTAGATTGGCGGTATAGGTCGTATTACAGTGAGCATTGGAGCATTTGTGTGTGTGTTGGCTCACGGCCGGCGGACCCTGGCTGTTATAATTTAAGATAAATTAATTTTATTGCCGACTAAACAGTCAAAGATTGTTGTCGGCACTGCACGCGATGTGACATGTATTTATGCCCGGTTTACACGCGATCCTCGTTACGCACCCCCATCATGGTTGCCAAGTCTACAAAAAATACCTCGAAGAAGGACATTTCAATCGTGCTTAATTGAGAACTGTCAAATTTTGTGAAATACATAATTATTATGCAAGATTGCTTTACTTTTTCTTGCTTAACGCTCGTTAAATACTATAAAGTACTTTGAACGATATAATAATAATAAAAATAATAATATCTAACTTGGCCATATTAATAAAACCCCGCAAAAAATATAATTTAGTAGGCCTGCTGAGAGTAAATGAATTCCCTAAATGTTCATATCTAAACTTTAACCAGTTGACGAAATAGCATTTCGCCCAGGAGCTAAAGTTCAAATTGAAGAAAAGTAAGGTTAAAACTGCTTGACAGTTATCAGTTGTCCTCTTCTCTC